AGTAGTATGCCACTATGTTCGAAAATCAATACTACCATTAGTATCTAGCAAGGCAACATGTGTTGCACTGTTCTCATTTTTTGTTATTATTACTGTGCACCACTGTTTCTGATTGATTTCACACTCACCACATAAACGCTTTAGTGTCCCTGGTTGTTTTACAATCAAGTAGAATTGGCACAAATTGTATGACTTATGAAATACATACTTTCACATAAAATAGATAAGCGTAACAGTAGCTTGTGTCTGTCTGACTATCAAATAATTTTCTTGAAAAGTGACAACTTTGTCCAGGTCATAAAAGGGTCACAAATTTGACTCACCTCTGTCATCATAATGGTCAGTATATCCAATATTCTAATTTCTGCAGCATAAGTGAACATTCCCTGGCAGAGCTGGTTTTAGTAAAACAACACTCCCTCACAACAGACATGTACCAATCCTAGAGGAGAAGAATTACCGATAACATTTAAATTTTTAAATTTTCCAGTGAAACACATATACAACTTAAAAGCATTTTATAATAACATTGGCAAGCAAAGATGAGGTGAAAAGAAGCAACAGTATTTACATGTCGATGACAATGAAATAAATTGTAAAGCAAAGTGGGTCAAGACCGTTATTTCATGATATCGTCAAAATAGGCAAAGACAAGATTTTTTTTTTTTTATGGGAGGGCGAGTCAAATCCAGGTTACATTTAATTATTATGAGTTTTAAGAAGTCTTTAGGCCAATATATGGTCACATGGTGTGTGTGTTAATACATGTAATCTGATTTACTAAATTAGTATAACTACGTCATGGTTTATTTATTGAGCTGGTGAACAAAAGTTCATACTTATCAGATAAGAGAACACAACGATAATTCCAGTGAGTCAAGCCCAAAATAATTGAAGTTAATATGAGAAGGAAAGGTAAAGACTACGGTAGTCAAAGTGAGACTGAAGCACAAGAGAAGGGAATACAAACGGTCAAGTCAAGGTTGAAACTTTGAAGAAGGCATGGCCGAATAAAGGCGATGATTGGTCAAGAGTAGAAAAAGACAGGGCAAAAGAGAATGGCAATGCTGCGAGTGGATTATCTTCTCATACATTATACCATAGATGCTACTGTACTGACCTTATTGATATCAGCCTTGGCTACAAGTGCCTGCGCATCTGATGGGGATGGAGTGGGAGGAATGTCTTCCCCTTCCAAGTAACACTTCAATTTCATCAACAGAGATGTTAATCTGGTATACCTGTAACACAATAATAAATTAATTATATAAAAATGTTATCATTTCAAGAAAAGCCTCACAAGGATCAACAACTGGTGATGGTTTATGTTAAAACATGACATCTACAGTAAGTTTGAGTTATGTTGTGTAAATATCTACTGTTTTCAATTATATGAGGTTATTAC